CGTGGAGGACAGGAAGGCGGGTGGGGAGGCGGTTTTTGCTTGGAGGGAGAGTCCCCCTCCCTACAGAAAGCCGCGACCACGTGTCATGGGAGGGAAAATGGCCACGGATCCTGTTCGTCACCCAATCCGGCATTCGCGAACAGAGGCAAAATTTTGCGAATGGAGCTGTTCGTGACCCGCATTGGTCGTGAACAGAAGCGTTCGTGAACTGAGGTACCACTGTATTTTGCTTCACCGCTGAGTACTCATAGTTCTATAAATATTCATCTGAAGTGTTATTACCATTTATAGTCACATATGGCTACCTTGACTTTGATCCAAGATGAAGTCACAATGTGTCACTAGCAATCATAAAACACAGCAATAATTTTTCTTGCTGCTGAACCATTGACAAGATATGACTTGATCATCAATTTTAGCATATGCCATACAATACAAATACAATATAATTTGCATTTTTCATAGACACAACCTGCAGTATGAGCTAGCATAAACTGCTAATATACTTCTGTGTAAAACAACAATGAAAGCAATATTTAACCCTGAAACAAGCATCTCAGGATTTCAAATCCTAGATTATTTTTGATAGCTTTTTGTAGGATTCTTGAATGCAAAAAAATTATCCATGGCACATAGGCTTCCACAAAGAGAGAAAGAGGTAAAATGCTTGCAAGACACTACTGATTTCCCTCACAACTGTGTCATCAAAGGGAGCAATATGGTGTACATTCAAGAGTGAGTGTTCATTCATGTTAGGCTGTTGTGGGACCTAACACTTCACCACCCTAGATCAGGAATACCCACTATATGTTTTCGATTACAGTTTCCATAGTCTGTTATTATTAGACATGTAGAGTAAGATTTTTCAGAGTTGAAAACATGGAGAATACAAGGTTGCCTATTCCTATCCTGCATTAAGTAATTACATGTCCTAGTATGTACTTTGCAATCATTTGCAGCATGCTAGTGGTTCTGTGGTAAGAACGTGGAGTCTCCTTGGCAGAAAAGTTGACATGAAGACATTTCCCAGAAAGTTAAAAAATTGAAGGATTTTTTTATTAAAGAAGGATCCGTTTTGATAGATGTATAAATATATAGACTTTGCTTATAATTGACTAAACAGAAATGAAAGACAGTTCTTAAAAAATCACTTCAAGTTTTCTCTGAGTAAGATGTAATGCTTGATAAGGATGTATTCTCTTTCTTTAAGATTCAAAGTTTCTGTAGTTGAGGGGTTCAAATAACATTCTAAGCTCTGTGTGGCTTTAACTAGTATCAATAATGTTCATCAACAGGAGTATTAAATTTATTTTTATAGAACAACCCTTTTTCTTTTACAACAGTCGATCTACAATAAAGCAAAATGACCAAGCCAAACTTCTTTTATTCAGATTCCACTTGTTAAAAAACAATATGCCATATACATTTGAACTTAATGTAGTTAAATATTTCAACCACAACCTTGAATTAGAATTAGGAGGATTAATTATGGCCATGAATGAATTGGAAAATATTATCCAACAGTTGGAGTTAAAATAATATTTTATTTCCTTGAACGTTTTTAAAAAACCGTGAAATTCTTCATCTCTGCCACAATCATAGAAAGCTATTAAAAGGATTGTTTAATGCTAGTGGAATTATCAGGCTTGTACTAATAATTCGCACATCCATACAGGCCCAGATATCTAGAAACCAAAATTAAAAGCAAGTAACCTATTTACAAGAGTCACTGATTCTGTGTGATCATATTAGCTAACTGAAGTACTATTATATAGCTGCCTTGGACACAATGTGGGATCCTGTTACCTATGGCTGGATCTTGTGTCATTACAGTAATATCTATTGAAAGGAAAAACAAAGATTGTGGCAAATGATATAATTTATTAGCACATCAGAATCACAAGTCTTTAGGCAATAGCAAATTGGGAAGGAAACATGAGGTTCAGTAGAGCCCTGGGGCTTCTCCTTACTGATGTTGCAGCAGGACAATGAATCCTCTGTAGAACACACAAAGAAGCTCATTTGTCTGAGAATACTGACATTTGGCTGAGGGCAATCTAATAATTAATAGTAGAAATTCCCTCACTTTTCATCTGAAATTTTCTCAGGATTTATGAACTTTCTTGCTGAATGTTTAGCAAGTTTTGTAATTATTTTCCAAATCTTAGGGTTTGCTCTTGTAACTGAATTTTCAGTTAATTGTTTAACCATGGTTGTGAGCTACTTGGTACATTTATTTATGGTCCCAGACTCATAAAACACCATTACAAAATTTAAAATCCAGAAACACCAATAAAACACAAATATAAAATTTAAAATACAGAAAAAAACCCCCAAACAATTCATAATGAGAAGAGGATATCACCCGACTTCTGCAAGCCATAGCGATTGCAAAGAAATTTGGCAACCACCTTGCCGACAAAGATCCGCATAGTCAAAGCTATGGTTTTTCCAGTAGTAATGTATG